TTACAGGGAAATTCAATTATCCCTATAAATCTCCACTGCACATAGAGTGTTACTTTATATATTTTATACAAATACTAATCCGAACATTTTTAAAATACTTTCCATTTTCGTAATACGTAGAGGTGCTTTAATGAAATTAAGATCATTAACGTACAAACAATAATTAAACGCGCATGATTCCACATTCTCCATAAAGCATAATATATTCTTAACAATATTTATCTTTAACTTTGACGAGTTATATCAATAAAGCGGCATGTCAATTAGAAAATATTTTTAATTGATGTGCCCGACAAACATGCTTAAACTATATGTTGCGCAATGCGTTAAAAGCGCGCATTAGCTTTTACAATTTAAATAATGTATTGAACGACCATAAGATTCATAGTCTCGCTGCGAATCACAGATTTAAAGAAAAAAGTAAGTTATATATAACTGTCTCTGTGACACGCAAGGTAGCTCAATGACACACAACGATAAACAACGTATTCACCTACACTCTTTCGTTATCGCAAGCTACGGTGTATCATTTCATAATACCTATTATACGTATATTACTTACGTCGTCTTAGGTGCGCAATGATAATTCGATGGCACTCGTCGAGTCAAAAGAAAATTTTATAAGATACGCACACCGACTCTATTATCAGCACTTATACCTGCACGAAGCGCGCGTTATCAAATATTTACGCCCACGCACTTGTCGGATCTCGGCTTGGATCGGCGCCACGTTGGAGCGACACCGCGTAGAAAAATGAAAATCAAACATTTAAAGCGCTTTTATCCTTGTCCAAGTATTATCCGTATCCGAGGCACATCGCGCGAGACAAACGCGCGCGCTAGTGGCGTATAAAGGACGCGCTTGCCTCTGTATTAAGCCGTAAGCCGAAACCTTGTTGTTTGCCCTTCTGTCTACCTAGCAAAAAAAAAATGGCTCCCTCGCCTCCTCCTTCACCGGGCTCGTTGCCTCATCTCTTTACGAGTCCTTGCCAGGGAGTAGCCGTAATATTCAGGGTGTCTGGGATATGAGGATCGGACGATACGGTCGCGGCCTGGCAAAAAAGCTCCTCCGTATCAATTTTTAAGCGGGCGTCTTTTACAAAGCCGGCGTACCCTGGTCGTCTCTTCCTCGGATCCTTTGTCGTCAAATGAACGCTCGAGAGCTCCTCGGTGTGCATCTTCACATACTACACGCACACACCGCCGTTATGCGGCGTCGCACTTTAAAGCCTCTACCCCCCCTCCCCCTCCAACCACCCTTCCACGCCGAAATCGCTCGCAGGATTTCGCATAACGAGAGACTTTCCGTTCCCATGTAGCTCGCGTCTCCGGAAGAGATGCGTCCCAACTACTGACTAATTTATTTTTCTATCAAACTTTAAGTACTTTTTGAGAAAGGGACATCGCTCTTTTGAGCACTTTATCCAGTTTTTGTCTGTAGGCAGGAACGTTGTACAGATGTAGTCGCCACACACCTGGAGATACTCCCCGAGTCCGAGTTAACGGAGCTCATTTTGATAGCGCTAAGTAGCGTCTGATCCTTCTTGAAAGTATCCACGAGGGAAAGTCATATGGATTTTCTATGCTCACTTTCACAAGATTTCGTACGGCGCATTCCATGTGAAATCTCCTAATATAAATAAATATCCATTTAAAAATTGATATCCTCTTGAAAAATGCCACGTGATTCGCAAATGGAATGGCGTAGAGTACCCATGTGGGAGTTTAGAGTAGAAGTCCATTGACCAGGATATTATTTTACAAGAGTTGGCTACTATTAGGATGACTTGGCTGTCCGAGGATATATAGGCAATTTCATCCTATTTTGCATTTAAATTACATAAATAAAATAAAGAATAACTTGGATTCGTTAATACCAATTGAGCTTTAATTATCAATTGAATTACGAATTTTTAAGAAGGAAATTATCAACATTTAATAATATGTAATTTGGATATAATATCATAATCAAATTTAATTTAACAATATTATTAAATATGAAAATTTATGTGCCACATTTGCATATTAATTATTTTCATTACGTTATTCTAAATGCTGTCGAAAGTGATGCAAAAACTTTTGTCGGAGCATCGCTTCATTCGAAAAAATGTTATTACGTTATGTGAAAAAACAAAACAAAACAAAACAAAGAAAATATTAGTTCATTACCTTTAAAGTTGAAAATCTAAAGAAATAGTGCACAACGTGAAATCACTCGAAATGACCATCGAGGAAAATTCAATCTCAGAAAATTACTTAACCATATTATTTATTTTATTTGCTGTTAGTGATTATTGCTATTGACGTTTATTAGTTCTTAGAGAAATAATATCGATCCAAGTTATTAGTCAAAGTTTATTAGCTTCAAGTAATACATATTGGTTTGACATTAAAGTAAATACAAAATTATTTTAAGCAAGTTCATTTCCTAACTTGATACTGTAAAATTAAACTAAATTTTCTTTCTACACTTTCTCTAAAATGCAATGTACTTAATATTTAACATGTGCTTTTATTTTTATGCCATTTAAAAATATTTTCTTACATATTAATGTCTTATTGTTGTTGTTATTATTATTATTATTATTATTCTATGACTTTTAATGACATGATTATTATGCTCAAATAGTTTTATATCATATCGTTCATTTATTGATTTTTTTTTCCCCCTCTTAAATTCCATATTTATCTAATACGCATTGATTTTATGGTCATGTTGACGATGTACCGTTCTTCTTCTAAAATACGCACAGTTCTAGCCATTCCATTCCCGTGCATCTCGGCACGCGCCACCTTCATTTTTCTTTTATTCTTAAGGTAATTCACTATTTTGCATTCTGTCTCGTTCAGCAGAGGGTTACAAACTTATTTACTCTCAGCTACTATTTTGGCATTGAACGGTTCGACAAACCATCTGTACCCAATAGAGCAATTTATCAACCACTTATACATGCCCATTTAATCATAGTACTTTTGCAACTTCACGTCCTCGATCCCTTTATTCTTCAACAATTGTTCAGCTACGGTTTATTTACTACGGCTTCTGTTGTTTTGCTGAAAAAACAAATGTTTTCTTTTCATCTATTTCACTAATGATTTCCTGACGTTGTCAGGATTTTAAACAACGATTAGGATTGTGCACTAAATAAGCATGGCTGTAAATCTATAAGCAACTTTGCTTTATATTTCTTAAATTAGCCGAGAAACTAGAGAAACAAATATTGACATATCACCTTCTTAACCACTTTTACGGTCTACATAATTATACTCTGCGAAAGCACTTGTGTCACCAATCAATACACTCTTCCCCGACTATCGTAAAATTTTTCAGTATTTTCAAGCTAATTAATTATCGAAAACTTATTGCATAGGTAGCATAATTATTATGAAAATCCTTAGTTTATATAAATTTCCAAGAGCTTTCCATAGATGTCATTGACGTCATTAATTATTCCCTTCACGAAGAATCACACTTCTAAATACATCAATTTCTCTTGATTTGCCTAAGTGTCTCATTCAATGCACGTAATGCAACAGTAATTCATCTTGTTTAGGACGCCCTATTATGAAAACATCTAATATGCGAAGCATGTTTACCTCCTACTCGAAGATGGGCTCAATTTCCTTTCATAAAATCTTGCACCTCGTGTTATTATTATTATTATTATTATTATTATCTTATCTTATTCGATAAACTACTTCTTAATTGTTGCCTTCGACGTAAAATTCTCAGCGACGCCTGAAGCATACATCATTTATTAATTAATCGTCTCATTTATCATATTCAAACACTTTTTTAAAACGACTAATTTCGCGTGTCTATATAACTCGACTGGAATGGTTGCTCTTACATTCTATAGAAGATCGATTGGAGGATATGCTGATCTTTGTTGTATTCTCAAGTCGATTCAGCCACATGATACATTACCTAATTGCGGTTGATTAAACGACCGTAGTATCTCGATGAATTATGGCTTAATTAATAACTCTTACATAATTACATTTTAAGACTGTTTTTATGAGTATAGAGCCGAGACAAAAAGCCGTTGGGGTGGGATCATACTTGTACTCATTGTCCCTTATTTAGAGAATTACAGCTATTTCTAAATATTATGCAGTGTCTTTTATTTTCTAATCAAATTATATCTCTATTGTTGAAAATTGCACGAAACATTTCGCGATTTACGTCAAATGGAATTCTCACCCAATATTTATCCTCTCGTAATCTTTATTTTACAATACGATTGAAAGATGCGCTCTCCTTTATATTACTTTTTTCTTCCGTATATCAACTCCTCTAATCCTTTAAACCACATATATAAATACCTACGTGTCTGTCTCTTCCTCTCTTAGAAATTGATTTTCTCTTCGTCTCTTCCACTCTCTCTACTATTATTTGTAATTCTTTTATATTATAAAGAATAACTTTTCAATCTTACCCAATTTCATTATTCGCTTCTTCCTTGCCTTTAAATTAAAATATTGTTCTACACAAAAATTTCTTACATATTTAACAATTTCTATACATTTACAACGATTTAAAAATTTGATAATTTCATAGTTTGTGGGCTAAATGAACATAAATATTGTTACAAATTTATTACATTCCCAACCTGTCGAAACACTTCACTAGCTACTCCATTTGTATTTATAATAAAAATTTTAGCAACTAAAATTTAATTTGATTTTGATTCTTTTCCTTTAAACAATTATATTTATAAAATTTGATATTACAAATAATTATTTATCCACATATATTTTCTGTAAAGTACAAAAATGATACAAGATCCAAAATAATTTGGAAAAATAAATGAATATCACTAGAAATAATTGAAACAAATAAACACAATGTTATCTTCATAACTTATGAAAAGAAATTTTTAAGCCTCGACTGTAAATGGATATATATTAATTTTTCTCCAAACTAATTATGAAATTTAATTAGTATAATTTAGCCTCCTTACCTTACAATAGTTTAGAATTTATTATAATAAAACAAATTTTGTTTTGATCACGCCTTTATTCATTCGCAATCAGTACAAGACATTTACCAATTATAAAAAAAATTTCATAAATTAAAGTGATCGGTGCTTCTCCGCTTATAAAATTTACCATAGTCTTGATCCTTAATCGAAAAGACCAAAGCCCATGTCCTCATCCTCTGATTCAGATTCCTCCTTAGACGCTTTCTTTTCTTCTGTAATAGTAATCGAATAAAATTTACATTATAATAAGCAATTACCATTTTGACACTTTACAAATACAATTCAACAATTGGATAATAAAATTCCAGTTTATGTTGAAAAATAATTGCTTGACAACGATTGAGCGTTTACACAAATTACAATATTCATATAAATGAATACTGCTAGCTTGATTAGCTAATCGTAAGGGATAAGAAAATTTTGGTTTCTTATATTACAATTAATTAAGCTTGTATGAAACTAGATTTTCAAACTATCTCTTGCTTGAATCGATCTTTGTAAAATAGCAATAAATATTCAATCAAGAATGCATGTTAATGTATAAAACAAATCCTGTAAAGTACGGAGCTACTTTGAATATTAAATTCGTTATTTCAATTTGTTATTAAAAGCAAATCAAGCATTTAATCAAAACAACAATGAAAGTACAAATGAACATGACTCTCTTCAAATCAAAACTAACCTTTCTTTTCTTCGGCAACGGCACCTCCAGTACCACCACCAGGTGCAGCAACTACCGGAGCTGCTGCACCACCAACTGGCATCGAGCAAAGATTCTCACGACCTATATAAAACACATTGAAAATTAAATATGAAAATGTCTTAAACTGTTGTATTTTATATAAAGACAATATAAAATCAAGACGTGCCTTGAGCAATAACTTCTTCGACATTTTTGCCATTTAGTGATGAAAGAACTTTCTTAAGTTTCTCTGCATCGACTTCAATACCGACCGATGAAAGAATCTTTTCAATATCAGTCTGACTGGGAGACGATTTGCCTCCCAAAACAGCTAAGAGATACGCAGCCACGTAACGCATTCTGAAAATTATAAAATCATCAACTGCATTACTTAACTTAAAAATGTGCCGTACATTAGGTATATTTTAAATAAAGCATCAGTATAAATTAACCATCACAGATTATCAGTCGAAAGATGGTGAAAGTGAAAATCATCATGAACTTAAATGAAATTGTTGTAATTCACAAGCACGTGAGAAACAATGAGAACGTGCAAAGTTATCCGATCATATCGCTATTCATATTTATGCAATCGGTATACTTGTCAATTGATTCTAATACGTTGATTACTATTGCGACGATTAAAACAAATATTTCTTAATAATTTATAACATTTATACTTACTTTTAAGTCTTAATAGACACGAAACGTGATTCTGCTTAAGGCCAAAGCACCGAGCAAAACAGGAAGATGTTTGCCAAGTCATATATATATACCATCGACTTCCACTGCTGACAATATAAAAACACTAATTTTTCAAAATCAAGAATTCTGTGGAATGGTAATAATTGTTCTGATTTTGAAATTTCCCTAAAATATTTAAACACTTGGTAAAGAAATTCAACTATGACAATTAATATTCAATTCTTTTTAACTAAAATTGTAATTAGAAAAATTACCTATATTTTTCATCCTACATTGTTTCCTTAATTCGATTTTACATTTTATAAATGGTACCTGATACTTTACAATTGGCATTTATCTTATTTCTTTTTTCTCTTTTTTTTTCTTTTTTTTTCTTTTTGTTAATAATCAAATGTAATAAGAATCGTATAATTATTTGGCAATTCGGAGGAAGGTTTCATTATACGTAAAAGAATAAAATTGAATTTATGTATTGGTACGACTGAGTAAACATTGCTGAACAACGACAAAAATGCTTTTTACCGGGCAATGACGCCGATAAACGGTTATTTAAAATTTTGAAATTTCAATTGTCAATCATTGGTGTGCAGTTTGATGAAAGACTCACAAAAGTGTATTGCAAAAACTTGATAAATGAGGTTAATGAGCGTTTAATAGAATAGTTACGTAGATGCGAGAATAATCATAAAAATGAGGAAAAGTACGAATACAACGAGACGTCGATCTCTGTCAAATCCAGGCCGATTTTCCCAACAAGATCAAGAAAGAAATTCTTTACGAATAGATTCCAGACGATTACAAGGTGTAAAAACGAAAGATTCAAATTTCGGTGCTCAAGAAACAATGATTCCAAAGCCACGAATACGTAGTTCTTCCTCTGACAGACTCAGTGGTCTGCGAAAATCAAATCTGAGACCCACTACAGGTATATAGTTTTTTTTTTAATCGCAAATCATCATTTTGTAATTCATTTATAAATATGCTTATAAATTGTTTACTAGCTTTTAAAATTATTTTGAATGAAACATATTTTGTAGAGAATACATTAGACAATATATTAAAAACTTATGAAAATTAAAAATTGTAATGTTAAATTTTATCACTATTTAAGTATTGCATTATTATGGAGTTAGTGTATGTCAAGGCATTAATCATCTACATTTCTATTTAATCGTTTAAGGTCCTAAAACATCCATCGGGCAATACACTACAGCTTCGTCTGTAATTTCTCCAATGCCTAACAGCCGTTATACCCATGGAATTGAAGGTAATAGAGGCAGAGTATCGTATGTTGATCAAGGTAATCTTGCATCGAAAGGATATATTACCCCAATGGCAACTGGATCTCGACATATAATACCAACGAGCGATGGAAGGGGCGTTAGAGCATCTTCTGCTGAAAGAGCAAGTGCCCTTGTATCAAAAGGCACCAAAAAGGATAGTCGGCCACTTACCGATAAAAATTATCAAAATGAAATGTTAAGCAAGATAGATAATTATTTTCATTCTATTGGTCAGAGTACAATTTTAAATAATAATGGAAGTATGAAACCTCTTACTTTAAAAATATTTGTGGAGGCAACAAATCTGTTAATTAAACTTCTCGATATGAAATTATCGCTGAGCGTAGCTAATTATATCGAAGAAATTCCGAAAGTAGCCAAAAAACTTCATTATCCCGGTTTAATGAACAAGTCTTGGCTTAAAACTGCAAATACAATGCATTCCTGGCCTCATGCCATAGGTTGGATTTGCTGGCTAGTCGAATTATGCGAAGTCAAGGATTTAGCTAGTGAAATATTTACTCTTGACAGATTACCAATGATCGGAGAATCTGAAGAAGAGAAGGAAAATCGTAGAAAAATTTTCCTATTAATGATTAATTGTTATAAAGCATGGAATGAAGAAAAACCCGAGGACGAAGAGAGTATTATACAAAACTTTTTTCAAGAAGAAGCTGAAAGGAGAGGTATAAATGCTAAAACATATGAAAAAGTGCAATTGGAATTTGAGAAAGCTCAAAAGAATTTAGATGCAGAACAAGAAAAAACTAATAAGGTAAATGAAGAAATAAATGAACTACAAGAAGTACTTAGTAATATCAAGAAAGATCAACTTAAGCAACAGGAACACATTGCAGAGCAAGAAAAATACATTGAAAAGACTCTCAAAGAAATTGACCAGTTAAATAAAGATTCGTCAATGTTTATTAAAGATATTGAAAACTTAGATAACACTAAAGATGAATTGAATAATATTATAAAACAGCAACCAATGTCTGTCATCGAACGTGATGAAATAGTGAAGGTTTGCACTGAACAACAGGCTTATATTCAAAATTTTGAAGCACATTTAGAAGAAATAAAGAAGGAAGCGTATTCTTTGGATATCCGCTTGGTTTCGTCAAACACAAATCTTGTGAAATCTATATTAGCCTATAATCAAGCACTTTTTATGCAACTATCTGATTGTAATACAAATATCGATGAATTATTAATGCCAGAAAATGGAATATGTGAATCTAATTTTATGAGCAGGCTAGAAGAAAGAAAAGTCTTGATGGATAAATTCATGCAAGAGCAAAGTAACGAATTAAGTAAAAAAATGAACTTAATTGAATCTCATAATAGAGAAATAGAAGCAATGCAAACAAAAAGAGATACACTTTCGGAAAAAGTGGAAAAGAAAAAGGCTACGGAAGAGAAGCAGAAGCAGGAACTAAAAAATAAGGAGAATAAGAAACGCGAAGAAATTAAAAGATTACAGTGTAATATATCGGATTTGAATGAATCAATTGTCAAATTGACGAATGAATTAGATTCAGTTAATCAGCAATTAGCAGATTCTATTGATAAAAAAGAAGCTGTGGAGCGAAAAAATGCGCATTTAAAAGAATCTGCCAAAACATTGTTTATGCAAATGAGTAATATTTTAGATGAACACCGTAGTAAAATTAGAAATTCGCTTGAGACGTATTTAAAAAGAAAAACTTGAATAAAAAATAAAAAATATTTGTTAAATATTTTATCTGTAGGATAATTTGTAAAAATAACGTTTCAAAGAGAATTGCACAACTATAAATTATACCCTAATTCGATTTAAGCAAACAATTTAATTATGTATATAGCCATGTATTATTCAATATGCATTATAAGATCTGTATAGATTTATGATAAATATGAATCACTTTTTCTGAGAATATGTATATTTGTTCAATTCCATATATTTTACACACTTTAATGAAAAATAAATTTCTAAAAGATTTTAGAATAATCTTTCCAAACATAATTTTGATCAATATGTTAAAATTCTTCTTATTAATTATATTTGCATTTCAATATATATATATATATATATATATATAAAACTTCTATTCAGATTTACAAATTAGTCTTTATTACAAATACTTAGTTTTTAGAGTTCTATAAACAATAAAATACATTTTTTTATCTCTAATATATATGTACACAATTTTAACAGAATTTTGATCTTACTCTTCAGTCAAGCTCAGTATTTTCAATTTTATAATAACTTTAAAATTAATTTTTCTTATTTAGAATATTAAATAATATAGTTTACTAAATAATATTCATGCTTGAAAAACATATAGCTATATAGGTTTATATACTTAAAATCAGTGTTTGTATTTTAATGAATGATTTTTAATATGAATAATTAATGATTCATAGTAAACTATATTATAAACTAATTAACAAAATGACAATTAAAAATATTATATTCAACCTCTTAAATTTAAAAATTTCAAATGAATGATGGAGTTTTGAGCATTTCGAGAATTTTCAATTGTTTGTAAAATAAAAAATTGTTTCAAATATTTGAAATGCCTGAATAATTTATTAGCACATAATTTCTTGGCAAATATACATTTAACTGCAAATTTCAAATACTTGTCACTCGTTCAATGACTTTTGAAACAGCATTATAATAAGTTACTTCAATTTACAAAACGATAAGTTACATTTATTATAGGTAGACTGTAATTTTAATTATATTCGTAATTTTCTATACATTTACATGGACAAAATTAACATCGAATAGAATATGAAATATATTGATAAATTAAAGTGCATCTATAATAAATGCAAATATTTATTTCAAATTGTAACTAGTTGTCGGATAAGCCTTAATGCACTGACAATGCACAAGCAATTCCAAATACAATTTGTCATTTCAATAAAGTCATCTAGTCACGTGTCTGTCTATAATTATTTCTATAAAACACGTATCGTTATTGAGCTTACTCTTCTTACTCGACAAACAAACAAAATCCGTAAAAAGATTAATTTTTAACTTGAAATTTAAAAGGAAGCAAACAAAAAAATGCATGGAAATCCAAAACTCAAAATGCAAAAGGAAACGTATATTAATAAACACTCGACTGAAGAACGGCCTTTTGCAGCAGGCACGAAAAGGTCGCATTGACCTCCTGGCAGAGGATCTCGGCGGACTCGTCGCCGAGGGCCGCTTGAGCCGAGCTAACTCTGCCGAGCTGCACTAGGAGATCGATAGCGCCGTCGACGAGGGGCGGAAAGGCAAATCCAATCCTCGTTAGAGCCGATAAAATGGGCATGAAAAGGGAAACGCGATCCTTGGATGGCAGTGCGCCGAGCAATGTCCCTAAGGTGTTTATTGCCAATCGACAGACGCACAGAGCCTTGGGCAACGCGTATTGGACGGCTAAGTGCGAAGCGAGGTCTACGGCGAAGACCTGCTTGTCCAATTCAGGTTGGGCCATCAGCTCTGGTATCCAATCGAGGCATATGTGCATAGATGGGATCCCCGCTACTGTAACTGGTATTAGTTCTCTAGGGTAGCCCTGTGCAAATTGAAGTATTTCATTAAATTTACATTTCGCAATGGTATTTGCTTAATCATTATGTATTGGCGAAAATATGAAATGATGGCGGGTGGTGGGGGAGAGGGGGCATGAAAAATGAAATTGAGGGGAAAAGACAGAATGCAAAGGAATCGAGCGATCGATCACTTTCGCCCAAGTTACATTTATATACATCATCCTCATCGTCATCATTGACTTATCATAATAATACTCAAATTTATCAAGGCCATTGGAACGTTGAAAGAAGAGAAGAAAGCTTGTGGATAATGATAATTCATGAGCGCTTCGAGGATACTTTTCTTAGCGACATGATCATTTAAAAAAAAACAAGAATAGAAAATTTGCCATTTACCTGAAAATGAACCAATTTTGCAAGAGAAGGATCAGCGATGAAGACTTGATGGAGATAAGAACAAACAACGCTTCTTATTTCTCTGAGGGACCACATTTGACCAGCAATCGTTCTGTCCTCTTCCGTTTCGAGACATGCCTCCAATAAAATTTGTACGGCAGCACTCTCCTGGCCAGCTATTAGGGCCGTCTTAAGTTCCTCCCGTTCAACTTCGCTGGTCAATTGTCCAATTTTTTCCGTTAAAGGTCTGTCTTGCATGTGCCTGGATAACTGAGATCGAGATGCCGCCAATGTTGCTTGTAAAATTCTACAAACATAATGCACAATTATATTCCATTTAAAGTTTTGTGAACTGAGCCTATCTGTTACATTTCTCAACAGTCGGCTTCGTTTAATTTTGTTCACTATATGAACAATTTTCAAACAAAATTCAAACTCTCGATTGGTAAGTAGATTGTACGACAAAAAACTACTAATTTACATTACAACATTATGAACTTTTAAGGCCACTGAGGTATTTTATTAAAATATTTTAAAGCACGTAGGGTGTATTTCCCCTCTATCTTAAATAGAGTTATGAAAATTTCAATTTGACATGCACGAGGATCTATTTATTACCTAAGTATCACAGATAAAACAGGTGCACAGCGAAATACCCTCATATCGCAACGTAAAACTTGAAGTGGATCAAGAACGATGTTTTCTTGCGTAAGGAAAACGGTTGCCACCGCTGAATTTTCTATAAATAGTGCATTTATCGAAAGTACCCATAGGCAACGAGGCAGTACTGTATTTAACCTCAACCATACTTGCTGATAAAGTTCTGAAAAAAAGAATGAAATGTATAACTTTTTATTTATAAAGATTTTAATTACATTGTAAATGCCTGTGTGTTTGCCAATGTAAATATGAAGTGCATAGTAGCCATTAAAAATGACAATAATAGAAATATTGAGAAGATTTGACGTGTAGTAAAAAAATTCGGTGTTTTCAAATTTCAATGACTAAGGATAATACGATGGATATATACACAATGTGACAATATGCTTTGATTATACAATTCTTGATGTATAATATTTTATTTATCGCCAAGGCACTTTTGTGAAATGAGTGAATATTACAAAGATGGCTGGCACCCCGTCAAAAATAATATGTTTAAGCTTCGATCCAATGACCAAACCAGTTAAATAATGCAAACGTACCTTGTATATATCTAGGTATCCTTTCGTCCAAAATCTTTTTGAAGTACTGGACGATAGTTTTGGCATAGGGCCAAATATCGGTAGGTTTCATCGACATAAGTTGCCTAAGTAGCATACCGGTTTTCGATGGACAATTTTGTATATGATCAAATGCCTCTTTGATAGTCGACTCATTAATAACGATGGTCTCGTGATTCCTAGCACCGGTGTCAACGTTTATGGCCTCGTCGTCGAGCCAATCATCAACTAACGACAGATGGGGAAAGTGCGTCGCCAGCAACCTCAGAAGAGGAGAAAAGAGGCCTGCGTAGCTCATTTGGTCCCTCTGTACCTGCTGAAGCAGGTACTTTATAGGCAGCTCGGACAGGAACTCAGTTGAATACGACTTGACCTTCCTGCCTTGGGATATAAAACTGTGCATGTTTGCTAATCGTACGTCTTCGTACAGTAGTAAGTAGTATAGGAGCAATAATTGAGAGGTTAAAGAAGGTCGCGGTACGTCCACGACCTTCTTGCACTCGATCTCTGAATCTACGAAGCGTCCACCACCTTTCCTCTTTAAGTCAAAATTTGCTCCAAATACGCTATTTTGGAAAACCCGTCTGATCTCGTCCTCGGTAATTGGCTTGTTTGTATGCTCAACAGCCTTATTGTTGGTTACAAGAATTGAGTTGACGTACACCTCAACGAGAGCCGGTAATACCGGATGAAGGGGTGGCACACTGTCCGATATTTGGCGATAGATCCAGTTCTTTATGGGCACTTTGTGCTTGGCGAAGGCCCGCGATTTCAGTAGCTGATGTATGCAGTGGACGGGCAGGAAGCCCGGTATGTTGGCGTTAAGATTGGCAGTCACAGGCACCTTGACCGCGTGGGACGTTACCACTTGCTCCGTAAAGATCTCTTGCATGAAGATCTGCTTCATGCGAGTCAGGTTGTTTGGCCTAATAGGTATCTTCATGCCTAGAGTTGCGCAAACTAACTCGCAAATAGCCGACAATTGATTGCTGTGAAAGTGAATTGCCATGAGGAGGAGCATTTCGCCGAAGCTCGCCGATACTCCACTGGCACTCTCAAAATAGGCCTCCTCGCGAACCAGCCACTGCACCCACTCGATGCTCGGCTTTTCAAGACTATGATGACCAATCAGGGATGGACAAGCTATGAGCATGCACAGGCCTAGAGAAACGAATCTGACTCCGGCTGGGGAGGGAGGTGGGTGAGACGTCAGCAGTTTAACAATCATTGTGACCTCCTCGTCCTGGTACTTTATACCGCCAATACCACGTAGGGCACAATACAACCTCAGCAGAGCGCTAGCCTGTACTACTCTACACTCCGCTAGCTGTCCGTCCGAGCTATGTGCAGTTATCGCTTGCAATCTTCTCAGCAATTCGTCTCTCAGTGCCTGAAGGGCAGTATGCGACTCCCATTTTCTTTTCTGTCCATTTCTTATAAACATTGCGATCCACGCTCTAACCTAAAAGTCAAAAGCATTAATTGTTAATTTTAAGAATTGCCGTCATTTTTCTCCTGAAACTCATCAGAATATTGGAATATTTTGCCAAACTGACCATTAAATTATACTAGGTACAAAAATTCCTACTATACAAGCTTGAGCCACAGCTAGTACGTGGCAAAGGGCACAAAATTGAATGTATAATCCTAACCTTTGCAAATCTTTTATGCATGTGCATTATGTATTTCAATAAAGAAAAAAGAAAGAAATTTAATCGTACCTGTACATCGTTACCAAGTAGAAGACCGGAAACAAAAGCAACTATATCGCTTTCTGCCATCGAATCGTGTATACCATCATTTTCTAAACTTAAAGTTATTGCCAAAGCTGGCATCCTGCAAAGTTCAATGCACTTTGCACGTATTACAAGTGCTTGACTCGGATTCATTTGGCACAGCATCGTTAAAGTTTGAGTTCTTATACTACTTAATGCAGATTCTTCTTGTCGCTCTCCATTGGCTATTAAGAACGAACATACCTCCATAAAACAATCTGGATTATTAGCTATGATCCAACATATTATTTCAGGTCCATGTTTTATGTGCAGTAGGGTTTCGGATATGTTTGGTATGGATAAAAGATCGGGCAACTCAGCAAGAGCGATGCATATAATATAACTAATTTCTTCCATGTACACAACACTATCGAACAAGTCGGATTGTTTGATTTGAAATTCTTGATTCTTCTGAAGCTCCTGTATTTGTGACGCTATAAACAAGATTTCGCTCAGAACTAAACGAATACGTCGATTGGCATCGCTACGCTCAAATTCTAAAATGAGAGCACTTTGTAGTGATTGTGCTAAAATACTATCCGCTTGTACATTCCCCTTCTTCTGCCTAAAAAGAAGAATAATTACAATGTAAAATATAATGGAAGATGAATGGATAGCCATGCTAATGTTCAAGCTGAAGAAATTAAACAGCCAAAAGCTGTATGAAAATAATGGAATTAAGCATCGAAAGTGCATTCGAGCCAACGATCCAACCTTCATGAAAATATTAACAATATAATAAGCCGAGCCGATAAACAAAATGTCTTAAATAATGAGGCGGCAAAGCGACGAGGCGCGAGCCAACCACTTGGCCCTCAAAAAATATGGAGACTCACCGAAGTTGCTGCTCCCTTCGCACATCAATCTCGAGACTATGGAAGTCAATGGACAAAAGGGCGACCATTGAATTAACCGACTCTATCCCAGACAATATCGTGAGTATCTCCTTTCTAGCCTCGATACATTCGTTGGTAGTGTCGAGCGGCGCAATTAGGCTCATCCTAACCAAACACGGCAGGATCGGGCGAACCTCGCGCTCGGTGCACTGGGCCAGCTCCCGGGTATTCACCGTCTGTATGGCCGCGAAAACGCGCGGCGAGACCGGTGGAGTATTTTGCATCTTCCCCCCGGTGTTCATCGACGCTTTCGGAAGAAGAGGTGAAAACGAGCCGCCGCCCGCCGTGCGCGCCCGTCCCCGCCTGGCCTGGACGCGGACATCTTTTCGCACCCACTGACGTCACAAGCCCAGAGTTGCCGTAATCGAGATCGCGGAGCTGCCGTTGCGCAGCCGAACACGAGATTCTCTCGGCCGACATCGACTCTCGGCGACCCGAGGGCAAGACCCTATCGACGGCAGTCGCGAGCGTCGCCCCAGTTGATGTCGAGGACGCCGCCGGTCCAACGCGTCGCTGCACTTCGCGGCTCCGAGTAGCAAGTCCTTGGTTAGGCGCGGGGGGAGGGTGGCGTCAGCGGGAAATTTGTTTGTTTTCCGCTTCTGTCTCTTCTACCTGACCGACGCCGACGACGTTGGTAACGTTGGGACATCGATGATCGTGTCGTTCGGAGCTTACGTTATTCTTCCCTTACTCGTTTTCAGTTATCGATCGGTAGATCACATTGGCTTTAATGGATTAAGGAGATCTTCGTAGCATTAATTGTTTCGGAGAGGATGATTTCACGATATATTAATATCGAGGGCACCGATAATCTAACAAGGAAATTGTTCTATTTTTGTCGGCTTTGCTTTTATTTATAAGCACAGATAAACTAACTTCGATAAGTAAAATGGTGATAACTCCTACGTCTCGGTAACACTTAATACTAGAAATAATTTATATCCAACGTTAATAATAACTGCTTCAAGTACCTTTGCGCATTCTCGAATCTAACATTTTTTCATTTGTCAATTTTTCACTTTCACTTCGACAATTAACTCCATCTTGATATCTGGTATTACGATTTCAATAGCGACAGCGATAGCAGCAGCAGTAGCAGGCAACAACAACAACAACAACAACGACGACGACGACGACGACAAACAACGACGACGAAGACGATAATAATAATTAATAATTTACATTGTTAAAGTAAAACAATAATTAAAGTGAATTGTTTGCATATAAAATATTTTGATAAGATCAAAAATATTTTATTAAGAATTATCGCTCCTGCTTATTCATCCTAAAGTTATTTTTAAAGAATAGAAAATAATACTAAATGTATTATTTAGTAAATTGTAAATGTCATCGGTATTTCATTAATTTTATTAGTATTGATTCATCCAAGACTTTAATTTAAGACTTTTAATGCTAAGAATTGAAAAATAGTAATATTTTTAACAGCAAATATTTAAGATATAAAACTGAACATTGACTTGCAATAAAAATTTCCCTCCATCATTCTTATGTAATTATCTACAAGATAATTGTACATATTGGACTTTCGCTCTTTTGCAAATTTAACCAAACCAAACAACAAAACAATTCTTTATCAATCAAGATTCGCATTTTTGCATTAAGTTATATAGGCATTTCTTGAACAACAATTATACAAATATACTTAATACATTGTGAATAATATTATGAAAAAGTGTTTTGAATTGAAATGTAATTTTAATAACATTGTAAGAAGAATATCGTAAAAATAAATTTTAATTATATTAAAAAATTATAAGAGGTGAAAATTGTAGAGATCCCATTTCCACGATTATACCATTATAAATTCGCATGAAAAGCACATTCATTCAATACTTCAAGAATTTATAAATCTTAGTAAGCAAATGTCATTCCAATATTCCTAATTAATTTAATTGCTCTTAAAAACTGAATTATTATATTCCTTTATAACAATACATTATTTATATCGTTTTTTAATTTATAATTAATTCAATTTAATCAACAGATCGTGAAGTTTAAATTTTTTGATATGAATTTCAGCAATACGATTTTATCAAATAATCGCACTGTATTCATAAATTACTAATGATTTATAAAAATATTGAATTGCCATTCCTATATCGCATTACATACAATGGAATATAATAATTCATTCTGTTCAAATTAAGACTCGCATGTAAGTCTTGTAAATACTTTATATATATATGTTTTTAGCACTAGAATATTAAATTAATATTATTACATTATATACATTAATCATAAATCGCTTTACCTTTTCATTACAAATACTTTATCTATGATTTATTTACATTGATTATGATTCATCTCAATTTTCATTATCATTTATTAAAGAATTATATCTTTTTAAGCCGATTGATAGTATTACTTTAATACTTTATTCTATTTTTATTATATATTAACCATGTCAAATTTACTTACTATGCTAATCTGACTCCTGATATTATTTATCACTAATTGAATTTTAATTATAATTACTAACATAAAATTATTAGAATGGCAGTCTGCTTCCTTAAAGTATTGAATATGTAAAGCATTGGAATGACGTCTTTCATTGATTATAAAGCGATCTCTATAAGTATGCGTGACATCGTCTGGGAATGTCCAGGTTATTTGTTATGTATCTTTAGGTTCGAAACACGTGCTTTTAATAATTAAATGCTTAAAATCAGGAGAGTTTATTACTCTTAGGATTTTTTATTTTTTTCATACTAAACTAAATCTATCTCAATATCAAATCCATCGCATAGCCATCAATATTGTTTAATTGTAAAATAGTTAATATAAAATTTATATATGAAAATTTATTTCATATATAATATCTTCATTTGTCTCCGTACTGGGGCAATGAACAAATACACTCTCATACCGCTGACCTTCTTTAATAACAAACGATAGCTTATTATTCATATACTTAAACTCATTACCCGTAATATTATTTCTCTCTAGACTACGTGAAATCTATATTATTTATTTATCTAATTCTAAAATAAAAATGTATATTTATCTAAGCCAATCCATTAATTATTGAATTACGATCGTGTCTAAGATAGTTCATTTATTAGTGAATTTGCTTTTGTAAAATATAATTTCAACATTTTCCTTATTATAGTCTTGTTTATATATATATATATATTTACTCTCAAACTGTTATTTTTCGTAGGACTGACGATTATGCTCGCATACACGCTACATCTGTACTTGATTAATCAGCACACTGTTACAAATGTTAAAAAGTATATATATATATATATATCTTGTGCCTATATATTGATATAGATATATTGATATATGAATAAATAACGTTATAAATGATAAATAAATCCGTTACCCAGGAATACATTAATAAAACTGAGATAAATTCACTAACTAAAACTAAATCCAGATATTTTATTATAAAAAATAAATAATTTAATATAAAGGACTATTTAAAGAATAGCAGATTCTTTTAACCTTTCAATTTATTACTTTTTTAAAGCACCAACAAGCCTGTTAAATAACGCTGTATAACTGTTTTTATCATATACAATATATGTATTTGTAATATATATATATATATATATATATATATATATATATATATATATAGGGACGACATTCAACAATCTTTTATTTTTAAAAATATACTTATAAAATATAGTATAATTATAGTCAGAAGCTTATTCTTAACTAATAATACATAAAATATTTTAAAATTTAATTTGTAAAAAAAATGATTATGTGTAATAATTGAATTATTGCAAATTGTGTTTAAATGCATGGGTATTAAAAATCTGATACTACTCCATAGAATGATACAAATTCATGATATTATTAGAAAAAAATAATTATCAAAAAATTATTCACGATGATTACAATTATTTCATAATTACTATCACCTACAATCATAAAATTCAAATGAATAAACAGAAATTTGTAATAATATTGACTTATTATTCGAATGGATTCGGAAAAAAAAGTATGTAGTTAGTACATTGTTAAAAAAAAAACTATGTGGATTTCATTCATCTTCCATTATTATACATTCATTTATGAATTTATTTAAAGAGATCATACAATTTGACTACACACAGTAAAAAATTATACAAGGCTTTCAAAATTGTACATTTTACGAGTTTTACTGGTACATGTAGTTAAATTAGAATCGTGTTTAATCTTACAAGCGTTGTTCGAATATATATTTTTCCGAGCAATTACAGAAACTTTAGAAATAGAAGCATAAATAATACTTGAAATACTACATTTATTGGTATTAAATGGGATTTATTTTATAAAATAATATATAAATTATAAAATAAATTTCAAAATCTATATTCGGGAATGAAATAAAAAATGACCATTCATTATTTCTACGGAATATTTTGCATTTTTAAGTCTTTCGATTTCAAAGTCTCCTATATTTTCTAATTTTTAAATGTTATGGTAATAACAAATTTTTCGTCCATGTTTATAGAATGTGTATTGTAGAAAATAACAAACTTGATTGTAATCTAATGATTTAACCTATATTTGTGTTCGTTTCTTTCGAAAATTCAATATTTAAGTATTTTATGTGTACTTGAATATCTATTTAATATAAATAAACATGCAAAAGTATTGTAATAGTCATGAACTGAAAATAGTATGTAAAATTTATTTAACATTTACCATTCTAAGCTTTATAAATTAAAAATACGTAGCTAAAATTAAAAACTAATGAAATTATTTAATCTTACAATTTAATTCTGTTACAGTTATGAGAATTTAAAAAATTAAATCGTTTGCATGTATACATATATTATAGATAATTTTTATATGCAAGGCGCTTGTTTAATTTTTGTAAATATGTTATTAAGCTTATAATAATTTTTTTTTTTCCCACTTTTAAATGATATGCTTACCACATTTTACAGAATCACAGTTCGACAGTTGTTTATAATTTTGTGTTATAAATATTTTTCATACTTTGCAACTTTTATATATAATTTATTGATTTCATATTTTTCGAATTCTAAGAAATAACGTAGCCAATACATAAATCCAATTAATTAAATAACTTATATTTAACGTTCATTCTAGCAAATTTTTAAAAAATTGTATATTATTGTATCGTACAAATTTATACATTTATTTTTTCTATTCAAATTCTGATTGTAATCGTCTTAATTTATTTTGATCTTAATCCTAAAAAGATGCTTCATTGTTATATATCATAAAGTAAAAAAAAAAAAGAAAAGAAAAAAATAAAGATTTCTTACAAAAATCTGTACAAAATGATTTGTATATTAACTTCAATCAGATAAATGTGTCTGTAAATTAGGTGAGAAACTTATAAAATACTTTTTTTTTCTTTTATAAAATTGTAATTTGTAGTACAAAATCATATGATTACCATAATTATCATAGTTTCAAACATTTATTATCAATAAGAATTGCAGAAGAAAAACATTACTTCTATTAATCTGTTAAACAGCATACGTATAATTGATCAAATTTGCAATCCTTATTAGTCATAGAATAATCGAAATAGTCAATGCAGTTTAAGCTTTCTTCAGATGAGTCTATTTTGATATTTAAAATCGATTCGTTGCATATACATAATTTTATATTCTAATTGTGGATATACACACGCACACGTACGCGCACGCGCACACGCGTGAAAATATATAAAATGAGCATAATTATAGGTAAACAATACTTTAATTTTCTTAACCGCTTTGATTTACGATGAAAAGTAACTCAGTATACAATGTTTTATTTGTACAATTATATATAATGATCTGAAATACTACGACAAATCGAAATCTACACAAGAACCTTGTATTTTCAAATTAAATTTTATTATGTAATAAGTAAAACTAAAAGAAATATTCAATCTATTAAAGTTTTATAGTAGCGATCCATTATAATTCGTGACAAGTTTATTAGTTTTTCATAAAGAAAATGATATTAAATTTAAGCTAAACATTTCGCTCCTATATAAACAAGAATTATATAAATGTTGTTAACTGTTCTAAATTTAATTGGAGTAAAGATTTACTTCAAAGCACAATGGGCATGGTTGCGTGAGCGCTGTGCCAACACGATCCCGTCTGGAGCAACTAGTAAATCTGTATTTATTCGACATGCTTATCCGACTAAAGACTTACTTCATTTGCAATAAAAAAATGCATTGATTCGAACCTAAGCGCAAGTCCGTTACTCGGGTAAAAATTTTATATACAGCAGGAAATAATAAATAATAATAATAACAATAACAATAATAACAATAACGATAGTAATAATAATGTTGATGATAATAACAATAACAAGAACAACGATAACAACAACAACAATGACGACGACGACGACGACGACGACGACGACGACGACGACGACAACAATAATAATAATAATAATAATAATAATAATAATAATAATAATAATAATAATAATAATAATAATAATAATAATAATAATAATAATAATAATAACAATAATAATAATAACAATAACAATAATAATAACAACAATAACAATAACAATAATAATAACAACAATAATAATAATAATAATAATAATAATATTTATTGTTGCTTTCGTATAAATAAATAAGATTTTTTTTTCTCATACGTCTTAAAAGAACAAGTTTTAATGATTTATCGCATTTATTCCCGATTCACCACTCCAATTACCTATATCCTTATCTAATATTGTTCAGATACTTAAATTCACATTCGCTATTTCGCAATTCTGCTAATGATTTTCTATTTGACTTCGCCACACATTAACAGGTAAGGATAATCTCAATTAATTTTATCAAATGTCGTTCTTTTCATACAGCATATTGTTATTCATTTTATATTTGGTAAAAGTAATATTATTTGTAAACGCGTTTGTTTTTTCTTCGAAATTACTGACAAAAATTCTTCATGCCATTTATATGTTCTTTTCTTCTCTTTGCTCTTTTCTATTGCTATTTTGAAACGTAGTCGTAATTTGTACTTCTTTTCGAAATTCAAAAGCATTTCAATGAACTCTATAACCATTTTATCGAAAGAAATTCTTACGAATTTCCAAAGGCCAGCATTGATAAACGCGTTAAATGACAGCTTGAAATTATGAAAACAAGGATGCCACGAATGCCAACAAAGCATGGATCTTTAGCGATGTATCCTCTAAATTGTATCCTACTGAGCGATCGATGGCGAGGATCGTCGCATTTTACTACCAATCTATTACCAAGAATTGCGTTCTCAGTTGAAAAACCAGAGGTAATAATTATATAAGAACAAAGATAATCATTCATAACAAATGTATTGGACGCGTGTCGAGGGTCGCGTTCACGCAATATCAAGTGAATAATCACTCGACCAAAAATATAAAAAGCGAGCAATCGCGCGTCTCCTTTTAAAGGAGCTGCCACAAACTGCCAATCAATCTTTATAATCAAGTGCATTAAGATCCGAGATTCACCGCGGACCTTAACCACATCCGCCCTGGCTTCCGCTCCCTCACTTGAAGAACTGCTTCATCTGCGAGGTCTGGTGCTTCATGCTATACTGAGCGTTCTCCGCCTTCTTCATGAGCGAGTCGAGCTTATCGAGGTGCGACTCGACCTTGGCATTGAGATCGGGCTTCCTGGCCATAACTGGGTACGGCTTATCCTCGCACTCCCGCTCGGTCTCTGACTCGACCTGCGCCTCCTCCTGCTGCTGCTCGGATGCCGTCGACTGGTCGGACCTCGAACCGGACTGCGATTGGACGCGCGCCTTCAGCAATGTGCCCAAGCTGCCGCAAACCGTCTGGAAAACGAAACGAATTGGCTGTCATGCCGGCTTAAGAACGTTTGACGATACTTTGGCGATAAGAGCTTGGAGGATTGGGGCGGAATTTTTGCAATTGTGTCGATCGAGCGAATTCTTATTCGTCGGTCGATTATTATTACGCAATCAAGCTCGCGGCTTTAACGGTCGCTTCCGATGCCGAGACTAACAAAATCTATAGGATACATCTAGCCATATCTAGCACGTTATTCCATACGACAGACATAAATTAATCATTGGATAAGGATTCATTGCTACGAATGAATTATATTAGAAAATAATGAAATGCAATCAAATAAATTCGTGTATGAATATCTACTATTTAGCTCCTGGCAAAGTTGCTTGTAATGTTATTTCAATAATTATAGCTATTAATCGATTCAGCCAGTTGCCATGATCTTATCTCTGAAGTTTAAGAGAGAGAGAGAGAGAGAGAGAGAGAGAGAGAGAAATAAAAAAGCTTATTTTATAAAATCCTTTCTACAGCGTCAAATGAATTTCTCCATTATTCACAAGATATTCTAATGAGAATAATCTTCAATATTGTTTTATAAAGATATTACAGAATATAGCATACGCGAAATTTATTGCGACTCATATTTAATACCTCGATTTATTCTGTCACCGAGTACTAAGAATAATAATTTAATAATACTATAAACTGATGTGCTATACTGTTCTACATAGCTCTGCAATGTAATCTGCAAGCTTAATACTAAGTAACAAAGAACAAAGGTCTTATTCAAAACAAAACTCTAAATTCGTTTAATTTTCTATGAGGTAAATTTATCTGTAATTAAGATAATTTTCGTAAAATATCGCTTTTGTAAACAAACACAAGTTATCAAATTGAAAATTTTATTATAGTTTTGAATAAAATGATTTGTTAATTACTTTGTCGTTGCGGATTTTATACGAATATGTTCGTATAAACTTTCAATTGAGGATTTATAATGATATTAAATTTATCCTCGATATTCGTTATTTCATATTAGCCGATAATGGTAAAATACAATGTACAACATAAGACTTTTGCAATTTAAGAATAAGGAAGAAATTAGCGGAATTTAAAAGAATAGCTTTTCTTGTAAAATTGTAAGAAAATCATTGTAATATTATTTATATATATATATATATTATTACTAATATTATTTATGTATAATATTAGTTATCGTTATAATTCTTATTAAATGTATATAATCGAATAAGCACTGCAATAATATTCGAACCAAAAAACCTATTAAATGAAATAATCCTAGTTAAATTAAAATATAATCATTCAAGTATGATGATCTTTTACATTTGTACATAAATATTGTTATATAAAATTTGTCCATAAAAATGGTGAATTAAAAGTATAAAAGAGTTGTCATAAATTCTTTCGAAAATAAACAATTGATAATAAAATATGCATATATAAATGTATTTGTTATGTTCTTGTACATTTTTTAATATTTCTTTGGTAAATAATTTCTATTTGAGAGAAAAAAAACTTGCTTCGTTTCCCCGTAAAAATAATGTATTAAAAATATCTCTGTGCAAACATTAATTTTTTTTTTTTTTTTATTTAAATATTTTATACCAGAAATTCACTTATATCAATAAACTGAAAATTTAGTTGGAATTTTATTTTGCATTACATAAAATAAAAATTAAAACTTATTAATAATAATTATGACGGTCAATATAATAGTAATAGTATAATACATTATTATAAACTATTATAAATTCCTATAAAAAATACGGTTGGCCTCTAAGATATAAAGATATTATTAATGAAATTTGATCTTTTTTAAAAAATTTCAAATTCTCACTGCCGAAAATTCTATTTCACATAATAAAATGTTGTTTATTGTATATATTTTTCATCTACTCTTAATTATTATCACAACTTTATTCATATAATAAAATTGAAAATATGTACATGTCACTTTTTATAATTTTTTTCTTCACTTTCAAACAGTTATTATAATTTAAGTTAATTAATTGTGTTCATTGTTGTTGTGCGTATTTTGTTGTTTGTTGTTTTTGTATTTGTTTTACAATTGTTTGTAACTGTGAAATGATGATATTCATTTATGGTGAAATTAAAACTGATGATGAAACTATGATGAAATTAAAACTCTCTTTTTTTTTTTAAATAAAAACCTTTTTACTAAATGTTTGATTATTTTAATTAAATCATTCATTTACGTTTTTGTCAATATAAAAGCTTCATTTACACATGTAATTTTAAAGTCTATTTTTGGCATTCTATTTATTAACGAATTATTAAAAAGTTTTACTATAATCAATAAAGTTTAACATACATATAACAGTTATTAATATTCGTCTTCTAAACTTTTTATTAAAGTTTTAATATTCAGGGAAATAAAAAATATTAATTATTAAATAAAATTCACATATTAATTCATTAAAATGCTTCTTTAAATACAATAAATTTTTCTCCCTTCTTTCTGTATTAATTATTAAATTATTAATAATATGTGTTATTACAAATATATCTATATACAGTAAAAGTAAATTGTATTATTAGTATTTTGACATATTGCAAATAATCGTGTTCATATACAAAAATTATGAAAAGAAAGACTTTCATTAAATATTCACTTTTCCACATGCTATTGTTAATGATTTGTTAAAAATTTTTAACATATCGTTTGCATTTCTTGTAAAATACCAAAATTATTTGTTTTTATCGTTTGTTTGAATTGCCATACAGCAAGAGTTAACTAGTTAGTAAAGTTTTATTGATGATCATTAGGTTTTCTTTTTAATTGTCTTTTATAAAAGATAACAGCAATTGTTTATGTATCTATTATCATGTTCAATTTGAAAAATACAATATAGAATTTTTTGTACAAATTCGATTATAGTTTGTAATTGTTAAAAATATTTAATATTTGAAATGTTTTAAATAGAAAATTTTAATTTCTTCAATTTTATGATGTGTTAGCTAAATATTATAAATCTCTAACTGTAAAATAAAAATGTATAAGCTGCATATTTTAAAACATATATTAATTTTAACTTACCTTGAATTTATTGATTTTCTTCTGTGTTGCACTTAAGATAGTATTTAATTCATCTAATCCTCCGGAAATGTGTCTCATATTTTCATCATTTTCACTTAATTCCTGAAAGGTAATTAATATAAGAATTATGTGTGACAAATATGAGAACAAATAATTTTACACAATTGAAATAATTTCTAAAATTATTAGGATAAGAATATTTTCCTATAAAAACTAAATTTGAAAATTAATTAACATTATTTGCGAAAATATTACTTTAATGTAAAATTATTAAAGGAAAATTAATGAACAATATTATGATTAGAAAATTAATGGCAATATTTTTTATCATTAAAAATCGTTCAAATATCTGAAATTATTTTACTCAATTTATACATACAATATGGAATTGTGAGAAAATTTAATCGTAGATAGTATGTATAAAAAAAAATGAAATATTTATATAACGCACGTAGAGCTAAATACTCTTGTAGAACTTGAATTTTACTAAATTCAATACAAACAATAAAAAAATAGTAATTAAAATCAATGTTTGTATACACATTGTTCGTAATATTCATTCTGAATATGAATTTATAATAATATTTTTAAATGTAAAGAATAATAGCAATGCTAATAAAACCATAATGATTTTACACAATTTTCTACATGTTTTAAAAAAATTTAATTTTCCTTATTTTAGCAAACGAATGCCCTTTTTTTAAATATTTTTGGTCTTCAATCATTAACTTTAACATTTATTTCAATGGAAAAATATATTCTATTACATATAAACACTACTCTTCTAATATAAATAAATTAATATTTAATAAATAATAATATTCAGTAAATAGTATTTAATATATATATATATATATATATATATATATATACATTCATTAAAAAATTAAATAAATTAAGTACTACATTGATAAACAATAATAAACTTTAATAAACTAATTATTTATATAACATTAATAAGCATAAATTATTTTAATACTTTATATGAATATAAACCACAAATATTTTAATAGTATTATTAGGGTTAATAGAGTAATATTGGTTATACAGTTTTATTATAATGTTGCCGTAATAATTGTAAGAGTATTAATTATTTGAAAAAGAGGATATCAATACAAATTATTGATTTTCAAGGAAAATATTGCAAGTAGATTTTTTATGTCATATTTTTTTAATTTTATTGAAGAAGGAAAATTTTAATAACCATTTTTTATTCATAATGCTAATTTAAGACCAATAATAATTATTAATATATATATATATATATATATATATATATATATATATGTACATAATTAAGACAAAAATTATCTTTTCTATAAAAATGATACTAATTACAACTTTAAAATATTAATCATAGTATTACAAATCGTTAATAGAAAAGTATTTGAAATATTTTTTTGAAATTCTTTTCTCTCTATTTTATCTTCATCATATTTGAATTATTAATTATATATTCATGTATTAATCATTGATAACATTAATTATAAATAATAAAAAATAATACTAGTTAAAATAGGTAATGTATTAATAAAATTTTTTTTTCTTAATAAAGAAAAACATTTTTAAAAATTGATATTAATAATATATTAAAATTAAAAAATAACTATAATTGCGAATTCAAACATTGATAAATATTAACTGCTTAGCCATTTGTATTTGTAAATAATTAGTTAGATAAATATGCGCATGTTATGTCATGATATATGTGTAATTTTTATTAATTAATATAGTTAGTTGGAAAGTATAAAATATAAAAATAGCTAAATGTCAAGATAAATATATTTATTTTACACAAAATTAATTTTTCTTTGACATATAGATGTAATTATTTCCATTGACATATAGATTATAATCTTATCAATTTGAAGAAACTTTGTAGAAAAATAAAAAGTACTTTAAAATTTGTAGTGAGAAGGCTTAATAACCTATAAGTTAATTTTCAGATTATTTTACAAATTTTTCACTAGCTGCATAGTTATGTCGTTCAAACGTATCGATAATCACTGTGTTCCCATTTAAAATTGCTAGTAAGGAGCGCTCGATGAGGATTGACGACTAAAGGAAAGAAAAATCGCGCGCCGCCTATCAAAGAATTCTCGCCTTGGTTTGCTCTCGCATAAATAGTCCCACGAGAAAGACATTCGCCACCAAGTGTCCGAAGATACCGATTCGGACTTGGCTTTGGCTACTTTTCGAGAAGACGAGTCATAGCGAAGGCCACTTAATCTTAGTAATAGTTCGAGCGGAAAGATCACCTGAGCAACGGCGTCTTCGTGCGCCTCAGTCTCGACGGCTTCCCTCTGGCACTCCTCGCTGGCCAGCCATTCGGCCTCTGAGGGTGTCTGCAGTCCCAGCAGTTCGGCCCTCTGACACGCATGCAGATAGCCCTTGGAGAGCGGTGCCGAGGCCTCGTCGGCCATCCTAATCTCAATTACCCGGAGCTCGTGAGCTCTAATCCCCAGCGGTCGAGGTTCCTTGGTAGCCACTGTAGCGTCCGAGCTCGTTCATCAGGTTACTTTGCGCAGACTCGAGGGCTTGACTGCGCCACCACCGATGCGCGAACATCGATATTCCCTCATCCCTAATGTCTCTCCTCTCTCTCTCCCCTCTCGCTCAATCGCTCTCTCTCTCTCTCTCTCTCTCTCTCTCCCCCCCCCCTCCTTTCCATTCCTTTCGTGCACCTATTATTTTTCTTCTCTCTCATTACGCTCTTAGACGCGGGGGAGTTAATCCTAGCCGGCAATGTTAGAATACAGAGACACATGAATTAGCTACTATTATAGGATTCCACTCGCTCAAGGTGATTAAAGAGTTCTTTGACTTAATGAACAGTTTTATTTGTATCGGCGCGTAGAATTGAGTTATTTACCGTACAAAACAATTGAGTTTATAAGTTATTTATCACGCTGTTTATCATACTAAATGTTCTGTCAATTCAAATAATATAAAATGCGAATGAATTTATTAATTATAAACGAAACTACATGTAAACTAAAAGCAGCTTGCTTTTAAAAGTGAGCATATTAATGCTTATTATGTGAAATGATAGTTTAAGTTTAAAAATTGATAGTTTAAAAAAGTATTTTTATAAAATACAAGTAAAGCATATATTGAGCTTTAAGTGTACAAAGTTTTCTTTATTACTGGTATTAATGAGAAATTAGAGTGAAAAGAAAGTTATTTCCATCCTTAGAATACTATTCCTTTTTTAACCAAACGAGGTACTATTTTTCACGAACCAGCAAGCAGTCTGAGCACGTCGATCCAATGAAATGATTATTTCTTTAAGTGGAGTATATCAGTAAAAGTGCAACAAAAATTGCTGGCATCAACTTCAGATTATATGCGTTTATTACAAAAGTATCAGAATGGTATTTTTATTTTAAAAACATACAAGTCTTTACCCACTTTTAATGCAATGAACATAAAACATAAATAAAAATATTATATTGCAATGGAGATAATATTGTTTTCAATTGAAGATTATTATTGCAATTATACTCAACGATTATTAATTTTATTAGTAGTAGTAAAGTTCATGAAATTGAGATAGCCATTCATATTTTTTGTTTATACAGATAATTTTGCAATGTAAATTAATTAACGGATTCATAGAAATGTCACGCATTACTAAATTAAAAAAGTTGAGTCATTTAAATTATAAACTTGCATACAATAAGAAATATTGTTATTTTATATTACTTCATTTATGAATTACTTAACCATATATCGTAATCTATAAAGTAGAGATATATAGAATTTATAATATATTTTAAAAGAAAACTTTTCCTTTCGCTATAAATTGTGCTTAAATTTTTATTTTAACTATATGAAGGAAATTGTAGAATACATTGATCATAAAAAATGTAATTATATTTAATATTAATAATTTAATATTAATTTTTCGTAAATTACAGTTTATAATAATAAACTACAGTAATATGATATATTTGTCAATGTATGGAGTATTTTTATACCTGCGATGTTAAATAAATTACCTTAAATAATTCACAGTATTTATATAAAATATACTAGTTATATATATATATATATATATATATATATATATATATATATATACGTGTGTGCGTGTATTGATCAATAAAATGGAAATTATTAATAAAATTGATTTTGTCATACAACTTAATATTCTACTACACTTGTTTGAGATATTACAAACTTGATTTTAATTCAATCCCTTTATTGAGTTTGTTTTGAAAAATAAATAAGATATAAGAATACATTAGTTGGCTTGTAATATAATAAGTTATATAGAATTTAAAAGAGCATATTTTGAAAGTTCAAAAACCTATAATTAAAGATCCAAATTTAATAGACTTGTCTTACTTTTCTTATTTTTCTAAAAATAGTGATGATAAATGATGTCCATTTTTTATTTAATTAAAAAAGCTAATAAAAACTTATTTTTACTCACATATGTTATGTAAATTCCAAAGACATTTTCTTAAAATAAAAATTTTTTAATTATACCTTCTATTGACTGCAAGATAATTAAAAAATATAAATATATTTATGTATAAATATAAATATATCTATATCGTTGAAAATTGTAAAATAGTATTAAACTTAATATAATAGTATATACATAGTATTTGTCAGTGTAAAAGATTTGTTTTGCCTATAATATCATTTAAAAAGAAAACGCTGTTTTTATAATTAATTATCATTAATGAATTAATACGAGTACAGTAAAAGATATACCTTCTAATAGATTAATTAAAATAATCATTTTTAATAAACGTTATTTTATGAAAATCGTATTAAAAGAAAATTCGATTTGAAAAAACAATAGATTTTTATCACTTGGACATATAGTATATGTTCATATTATTTACTACACTTAACTTAATAATATAATTTGATAATATCGTTTGTACCAGTAGTAATACACTTTATATTAAATTAACTATCTTTCCATAAAAATTATTATATTTGTGCAATGCCATTGTGATGATAGGTAATTTAAATTTAAAATTTATTTTGATTATTGTCTCTCGTTTTTTCTCTTTTATCATTGTCGACAATGTAAGATCATTATTCACTTTGAAACAAGCATATACAAAAAATTGAAAAATCTGCATGACAATTATGGAGAAAATTTTATGTTAAAAATTATCAAGAGTCAAAGACTTGAGTCCTTTTTCATTTTACACCATTTAGGATTAGAAATTTTAATTTACTATTCAAGCACGAAAATAATAGATCGATGAATGTGTCATTGTTCTTTAAACGCTGCTTCAGCAATATTTTGTCAAGACATTTTTTTCGCACAATACGTGCACATATGTGTACGCACGTACATTGAGCACTTTGCACATATAACGAGCAGAAAATGGGATGCTAAACCATGAAAAACGTGTATCTTCTGACGATTTTAGCTTGAGTACTCGTCGTTGCAAGAGCAGGTAGAGGGTCATACATAAAGAAAATAAGTTTAAGTCACGGAGATTCAGGAAAAAAAAGGAGAATCGAATATTACATTGCAGAAAAATTACAATTTTAAAATTCGATCTCAGTTTTGAATATTAAATATAATTAATCAACTATGAAAGTATTTCATTTAATATCGCTAATTTGAAGATGCAACAAATGCTTTTGAAATTTTCATTTTATAATATTACAATAATTTAATTCTAATTACTGTGCTAAAATAACTTTATGATTGAATTGCAACATTAAAATATTTAAGGAAATTTTTGAATACTAATAGTTTGCATCTATTTTATAAAATAATTGAATTATCTATTATCTAGTTAGATTTATATATATATATATATATATATATATATATATATGTTTTTTTTACTCAACGCATGAATATCGCATAAAGTACGATTAGTAAAATATTCGCGGAAAATTGTGATAATTATCGCTAATTTCGTAAAAATTGAATATGGTTAGATATTTGCGAGCGAATTTCAAATTAACATAAATTGCATTTACATTGTATGTTTATTGACATCAATTAATTATATAATTATTATATCAATATACGCAACAGGAGATTTTTACTAAGCGATTAAATGATTAAAAAAGTCATTAAAACGATAAATTGCTAAATAAAAAAAAAAAAATTTCCCTAAAAATATAATTAATTGAAAATTAATGAGCGATTAAAATACGAAGAAAATTATGCATTTGAAATGATGAATTTAATCATTAACTCAGATGTTAATTATTTCACGTTCTCAACCTCGAACCCAATAAACATAAAATTGTTTCTTTATACTGAAGTTTATACTGCAAAATCTATTCATTGTATTTATCGTTTACCAGCCAATGTTGGTACCTGAATGATTGTACATTATTATTGTACTATTATTTTCTTTTGTATTATTATTAGCTTACTGAAAAAATCAAATAGTATTATACGTATTCATTACACCTTTACTAAGCTTATTTATAATAGAATATGTGTGTATAAATAGAAGTGATTTCGAACAGAAAGACATAAAGGCATTAAAACATTTTATATACAAATGTATTAGTCTATAAATTCAAATAACATATCACACATGTTAAATGTTATTTCTTTGAAAATAAAATTAAAATAAAAATTTTCATTATATATAAAATAGCAGTTTAGTAAAATCATTTGGAATTATAAAAAAAAACAAATGTATACAATATAATAACAACATAAATATTACAAATACAGTAAAGCGTACAACATTTATAGTTCTATTGATTTCATATTTACGTATTGTTTATATAATTTCAATATTATGAGTTTACATGTGCAAAGAGACTTCGTAAAATTAGAGTTACACTTAAAAATTAGTAATAATACTATGAAAAGCATTGAAAAAGTTATAATTCAAAAACAGCGGAAAAAAAAAAATAATAACGGCACTCGAATGTTTTTTCTAATTTTATCATTAGTTTTTTCTTATTAATTCTAAAGTTTTGTGGCCGAATACCCGAATAACTCAAGTATACCGTAACATCGTTTATTTCATTTGACGTCTCCTCTGCAAACTTGAATCTAACGACGTCGTTTATTTTACGTGCAAATCTATAAATTAGCTACGAGCTAAAATCGAACAATTTAAGAATATTATTAATCAATGCCCAATAAAAATTCATACAAAATGAATATAATAAATGTATTTGTATAATTAATTTATATAAATTTATTCTATTAAATAATTAATATAATAACAGTAATTTATTCTCTATTGATATCTTTAATGCTCGACTGCGCAAAAGTGATTTAACTTAAAGAATAATACTAATTTTATGTTAATCAATTTATACATAAAATAATATATAAACTTTTCTATCGGGTTAAAATACGCAAAGACGTATCAGCTCTAACAATAGAAATGATTTAATAAATTTTATTAACAGAAACAAAAATAAAATTGAACATTATAATTTAATAAGTGTATAATTTACAAATTATGATTACGATATGCATGAGTTGCTTGCTATACATTCGATACCGATGATTCAGAATGCAAAATATTGACTAAATGAAAATATATGAACACAATATCAACGATCTTAGTAACCGATTTTTAATAACATCATATCACAATATATGTATAGTTGCAAATTTGATT